AGCTGCAGAACTTAGAAGGGAGAATCTTATACAAGGAAATATTTCAGCATCATTGCTACAGCTTGCAATTATTCGTCTAAGGCAACCCATTGACAATATTTATTAAATTTTAATTATCAGCAGTGGGATGTACATATGTTAATTTTCTATTGAATCTTCTATTAAATCTCTAGTTAGCCTAGAACGTATACTATTTAATCTCTTATTATTACATATACAGTAGTGGCCAAAACCTAGTTAATCTAGTATATATCCCACACAATTTTGTTATCGCCTACGATATCTTTGTCAATAATTAGACAAAACAAAAGATGTCACACATGCATGATAGGCTGCATGATTTAAATTTACATACACGGTACAGCCAACAGTTATAAGAAGAAGAAGAACATAAGAACGAAGGAACACTGCAGCAGGCCCACTGGCCCATGCGAGGCAGGTCCAAGTCTCCTACCGGCTTAAGCCAATGCACCCAACCTAGTCAGGTCAGGTCACATTGACTTAAGGGAGGAACACGGCAACCGACCTGGTAGCACAAGCTATCAGGTCCAACTCACACCCACCCACATCCACTCATGTATTTATCCAACCTATTTTTAAAGCTACACAACGTTCTGGCCTCTATAACTGTACTTGGGAGTTTGTTCCACTCATCCACAACTCTATTACCAAACCAGTACTTTCCTATATCCTTCCTGAATCTGAATTTTTCCAACTTAAAACCATTGCTGCGAGTCCTGTCTAGGCTAGATATTTTCAGCACACTATTTACATCCCCTTTATTTATTCCTGTCTTCCATTTATACACCTCAATCATATCCCCCCTAATTCTACGTCTTTCTAGAGAGTGCAGATTCAGGGCCCTTAGTCTATCCTCATAGGGAAAGTTTCTGATACATGGGATCAATTTTGTCATCCTCCTTTGTACATTTTCCAGAGCATTTATGTCCATTCTATAATACGGTGACCAAAACTGTGCAGCATAATCTAAATGAGGCCTAACCAAGGATGTATAGAGTTGAAGAACAACCTGAGGACTCCTATTATTTATGCTTCTTGATATGAAGCCAAGGATTCTATTAGCTTTATTGCGAACACGTATGCACTGTTGTCTTGGTTTCAGATTACTGCTAACCAGAACTCCTAAATCTTTTTCGCAATTCGTAATATTAAGATCTACATTATTTAGTTTATATGTGGCATGGTTATTGTCCTGTCCAACATTTAGAACTTTGCATTTGTCTATATTAAACTGCATCTGCCACTTCTCCGACCACTGCATCAGTCTATTCAAATCTTCCTGGAGGAGTGCTCTAATGTCCTCGCCAGAATGAATTCGACGGCCTATTTTGGTGTCATCGGCAAACTTGCTGATGTCGCTCTTTATGCCCTCATCTATGTCGTTTATGTAGATTGTGAACAGCAGGGGGCCCAGCACTGACCCCTGTGGAACAGCGCTCGTGACGCTTCCCCATTCTGATTTCTCCCCATTTATGCAAACTCTCTGCTGCCTATTTGTCAACCATGCCTCTATCCAGGAAAAAATTCTCCTCCTATTCCATGTGCCTTAATTTTCCTCAATAGTCTCTGATGTGGGGCCCTGTCAAAAGCCTTACTGAAGTCCATATACACAATATCATATTCATTACCATGATCTACCTCCTCAAATACCTAAGTGAAAAAAGTTAATAAATTCGTAAGGCAGGAACGCCCCTTTGTAAAACCATGCTGAGATTCGTTGTTTTAATTTATGCTTTTCAAGGTGGCTACGAACTGCCTCGGCAATTATTGATTCCATAAATTTTCCCACTATGGAGGTTAGGCTTATTGGTCTATAGGTCGAAGCTAAGGACCTGTCACCTGCTTTGAAAATAGGTATCACATTTGCCATTTTCCACTTATCTGGCACCATGCCAGTTTGTAGTGATATGTTGAAAAGATTAGCCAAAGGTTTGCTAAGCTCCTCTTTACATTCCTTTAGAACCCTTGCATACAGTTCATCAGGGCCTGGGGATTTGTTAGGTTTTAATTTATCTATTTGCCTAAGGACCATGTCACTTGTGACCCTAATCGTGCACAGTTTATTATCGTCCTGTTCTACATAATTTATCATTTCTGGAATATCGCTGGTATCCTCCTGTGTAAAAACTGAGAGGAAGTATGTGTTAAAAATTCTACACATTTCCTTATCACTGTCAGTGAGCTGACCCGAGTAAATTTGAGTGGGCCTATCTTGTCCCTGATCTTACTTCTGTATACCTGAAAGAATCCTTTTGGATTAGTCTTCGATTCTCTTGCAACTTTAATCTCATAATCTCTTTTTGCTTTTCTAATTCCCTTTTTTATTTCTCTCTTTAACTGAATATATCGATTTCTTAATTGCCCCTCTCCTCTTTTGATTTGCCTATATATGCCTCTCTTTTGACCAATCAGATATTTTAATCTATTGTTCATCCATTTAGGATCATTTTTGTTTGATCTGATTTCCCTATTAGGAACATAATTTGACTGAGCAGCTAGAACTATGCCGTGGAAAGCGTCATATCGGCAACCATCACCACCTACCTGACCCTTAGTCAGGTCATTCCAGTTCAACCCACCTAAGTAATTTTTCAGTCCTATGAAATCAGCCTGGGGATTTGTTAGGTTTTAATTTATCTATTTGCCTAAGGACCATGTCACTTGTGACCCTAATCGTGCACAGTTTATTATCGTCCTGTTCTACATAATTTATCATTTCTGGAATATCGCTGGTATCCTCCTGTGTAAAAACTGAGAGGAAGTATGTGTTAAAAATTCTACACTTTTCCCTTATCACTGTCAGTGAGCTGACCGAGTAATTTTGAGTGGGCCTATCTTGTCCCTGATCTTACTTCTGTATACCTGAAAAATCCTTTTGGATTAGTCTTCGATTCTCTTGCAACTTTAATCTCATAATCTCTTTTTGCTTTTCTAATTCCCTTTTTTATTTCTCTCTTTAACTGAATATATCGATTTCTTAATTGCCCCTCTCCTCTTTTGATTTGCCTATATATGCCTTCTTTTGACCAATCAGATATTTTAATCTATTGTTCATCCATTTAGGACCCATTTTTGTTTGATCTGATTTCCCTATTAGGAACTAATTTGACTGAGCAGTTTAGAACTATGCCCTGGAAAGCGTCATATCGGCACCATCACCACCTACCTGACCCTTAGTCAGGTCATTCCAGTTCAACCCACCTAAGTAATTTTTCAGTCCTATGAAATCAGCCAAACAAAAGTCAGGGACAGAGACTTGATTGCCATTATTAGGGGAATTCCATGATATATTAAAACTGAGTGTTTTGTGATCATTTTTCCCCAAGCTCATCATTAACCTCAAGATTATTAATTAGTGTTTCCCTACGGGCCAAGAACCAAGTCAAGGAGGTTATTTCCCTATTTGGCTCTGTCGCAAACTGTTTTAAAAAAACAATCCTGGATCATATAAAGAAAGTCCCCTGACTCTAAATTTCCTGTCAAATTGCTCCAGTCAATTGTTTAGTTAAAAATCTCCCATTAGCACAACATTTTCGTATGTAGATGCCTTATGAATTTCGTCCCCATAGAAGTTTACTGCACTCCCTATCAAGATTTGGGGGGCCCCGTAAATCCACCCAAAATTAGTTTTTTTTCGGCCTCGGAAGCTGTAACCAAACAGATTCGTGGCTGACGCCTCTATTTTTATCTTGTCTAACACAACAATTTAAATTGTCTCTGACATACATCGCTACTCCCCCACCCTTCCCGTTGACCCTGTCGTGTGGAAAAATTTATAGCCTTATAGTGACATTCAGAGGGCATCTCTCTATCTTTCAGATTGAGCCAGGTCTTGTTATAGAATAATATCTATGTTTCTGCACTTGCAACTAATCTTAGTCATCTATCTTTTCTTACACCCCCTGCTATTAGTATAGTAAACCTTAAGGGAGCTAGTCCCTTGCTGCCCTCTGCTGTCCCCCCTTTTTTTGCTGACCTGATCTATTGTCTTTATTTATAAACTTCATGCTGAATGCCTTTTATACTTTTCTGTTTCCAAAACCCCAGTGTTGCAACCTGCTTGTTTCCCTCACACACCATAATCTATCTTCCATCAGTTTAAAATCATAGGCATTTCCCAGGGGCCTTCTCAATTGAGTTTGCAAGTGCTACCACCCCAGCCCCAGAGAGATGTACCCCATCCCTTGCATACATATCATGTTTGCCATAAAAATTGTTCCAGTTGTCAATGAATGGGATTGCAAGTTCCTTGCAGTATCTGTCTAGCCAGCAATTTACACCAATTGCCCTAGACAACCATTCATTTCCTACTCCCCTTCTAGGCAAGATGCTACATATTTTTGGGACCCCTCCCTTGGACTTAATGAAATCTATAGCTGACCTGTACTTATCTAGCAGCTCTTCTCTCTTACCCTTCCCAATATCATTTCCACCAGCACTGAGACAGATAATGGGCTTGTTCCCATTACCTGACATGATGTTATCCAGCCTGTTAACTATGTCCCCAACACCAGCTCCAGAGAAGCACACTATATCTCTCATCTTCTTATTCCTATTACAAAAAGCACGGTCAATATATCTTACCTGAGATTCACCAACCACAAGAATGCGCTTACCTCTGTTAGCAGGGGCAGTAGTACATCGCAGAGTCTGTCGGACAGCCACGGTCGCATTAGTTGCCGTAGGACTTAAGTGTTACTGCGTACAATAATACCTCTTTGGAGAAGTGTCAAAGTTATTCCTTGTTTTAATGAAGAATTAGGCACAAAAGAGACATTTGAGTATCTTTATTTTTAGACATTTCGCCAACCAGTTTCTTAATCAATACAAGGACATAATGTGAAGACTGTTGAACTACAAAAGATGAGGTAATGAGTCCCTCAGCCTTGGAGTTGGTGAAGATCACCGTAGTCTTGAAGACTACGGTGCTCTTCCTCTGGTCGGTATTGTATACCATTCATGTACCTTCCTTGCTTCAGGGAACTGCGGGAGCAGGAGGAGTTCGTTGACGTGACCCTAGCTTGTGAGGGTCAGCAGGTATCTGCCCACAAGGTCGTCCTCTCCGCCTGCAGCCCTTACTTCAGGTCACTGCTCAAGGTTAGTTTCTTGAAACTCGTTTCTTTCCCATTTTTCTCATAATCAGATTTCATGCCAGAAAAAAAATAATTTTATCACAATCATTGCTACTTATTATTTCTGCTGTAATTTATCAAAGTTTAAAAGTGTGCGAAGGTTAGCGTTATGTACACAAATAACCCGCACATAGAGAGAAAAGCATATGACGACGTTTCGGTCGGACTTGGACCATTTACAAGTGTTGTGTATTTCAGAATAATCCTTGCGACCATCCTATTATCATCTTGAACGAGGTGGGTTACAGTGAGTTAATAACCTTGCTGCAGTATATGTATCATGGAGAGGTACAGATTGTTCACGACCAGATCACCAATTTCCTGCGGACAGCTAAGCTGCTACAGATCCGAGGACTGGCAGAAGCTGCGGCAGCCGAGTCCCGCTCGCGATCGCCCCCGGAGTGTCGGCGAGAGATGGGTTCGGTCCGCGAGGTGGTGACGCCGAAGAGAGAGTCCGTGGAGCCTGAAGAGGAGAGCCGGCCCCCCGACAGTCCACAAGTAAAGCGCATCAAACTGAGTAGCAGTATTGGTCCAGCGCCTCCTTCCTCGCCCTCACCACACCTGTCCGGGGGCCCCAGCCCCCCAGCACCCACGCCGCCCATACCCAGCCTGCCTCTAAGTATGGCCAACATGGCCACCATGGCAGGTATGTCCACCTTGCCGCCCATAGGTTTACCAGGGGCTTCCCTCCCACTCTCCCTGCCTTCCTCCATCACCGCCCTCCCGCCCGTAACTACCGCCCACCCATCCATCCATCACGGACGCTCCACCCTGCACACGCCCACGCCCACCACCCAGCAACCTTCCTTCCCTGGGCTGTACCCCAGCATGGCCTCCGAGGACACCCAAGACACCATGGGCAGCGACCGCTCTGAGGACAGAGACAAGTCTCGCCACGACGATGACGACTACGACCACGAGAGTACCCTGGAGAAGATGTCCGGACTCGCCAATATGGCAGCACTTAAAGGTTAATTTCCTTGCATTCTTTAACATAAATAGAGAAACTCAGGAGATTAATTGATCTGTATATTTCAACCCGCTTCTGGGTTATTCAGCAAAAAAGGATCTGAGAAGGGGGTCGAAATATACAGATCAATTAGCCTCCCAAGTTTCCGTCTCCATGTGGGTTATTATTGAGCACTGACGAGGGTTCATTACACTTTAGTTAGGTATAAGATAGGATAAAAAGAAACATTGCAGAAAGCCTGCTGGGCCGTACTAGGTAGGTCTAACTCATCCAACCATTCACATGTATCTGTCCACCTCAGTCTTAAAAATTTCTCCGAGCATTTGCTATAAAAAGTCTACACTACAAGTTTAACTCTACTTAATGTTTACATATGTCTTACGATTGCATAGCCATTACCACTTTATATTTGTCTCGACCTCTTGCATTCCTAGATATTTGTTATAGTAATATTATAGTAATGTTGGTAGACAGCAACCACCCAGGGAGGTACTACCGTCCTGCCGAGTGAGTGTGAAACGAAAGCCTATAATTGTTTTACATGATGGTAGGATTGCTGGTGTCTTATGTCTTTCTTATAAATATGCAAGATTACATGTACGTCTTGCTACTTCTACTTACACTTAGGTCACACTACACATACATGTACATGTTTATTTATAATATGCCTAACTGTTGCATATATGGGGGATATAGTGTTGGAGTGGTTGGTATTTTTGTTTAATAAATGTATGAAAGAGGGGAAGGTACCTAGGGATTGGCAGAGAGCATGTATAGTCCCTTTATATAAAGGGAAGGGGAACAAAAGAGACTAAAAATTATAGAGGAATAAGTTTACTGAGTATACCAGGAAAAGTGTACGGTAGGGTTATAATTGAAAGAATTAGAGGTAAGACAGAATGTAGGATTGTGGATGAGCAAGGAGGCTTCAGAGTGGGTAGGGGATGTGTAGATCAAGTGTTTACATTGAAGCATATATGTGAACAGTATTTAGATAAAGGTAGGGAAGTTTTTATTGCATTTATGGATTTAAAAAAGGCATATGATAGAGTGGATAGGGGAGCAATGTGGTAGATGTTGCAAGTTTATGGAATAGGTGGTAAGTTACTAAATGCTGTAAAGAGTTTTTATGAGGATAGTGAGGCTCAGGTTAGGGTGTGTAGAAGAGAGGGAGATTACTTCCCAGTAAAAGTAGGTCTTAGACGGGGATGTGTAATGTCACCATGGTTGTTTAATATATTTATAGATGGGGTTGTAAAAGAAGTAAATGCTAGGGTGTTCGGGAGAGGGGTGGGATTAAATTATGGGAAATCAAAATACAAAATGGGAATTGACACAGTTGCTTTTTGCTGATGATACTGTGCTTATGGGAGATTCTAAAGAAAAATTGCAAAGGTTAGTGGATGAGTTTGGGATTAGATTTTGCCACCGAAGTGGCTAGTTTATTGTGCACCCCATATCCATCCTGTGGACGGTAGCGCGAAAAGCATATGAACATAAAAGGGGCCCAGGACTAGGCCCCAAAGGGTTAACAGGAATACATAGGATTTATATCTAATATCTATAGTTCACTTACTGTTACAAACAATTTAGTGAAAAATTGCTTAGTATAACTGGTATCTTATTTTCCCTTAATAAGAATCTTGACATGTCACATAGGTTTTTACTGTCTGTCTCTGTATTCCTCAAAGTGGGACAATTAAGCACATAGTGTTCAAGAGAGTGACCATATGCCTGATACACAATAATTTTACATTTAGTTTGATCATCATCTGTGTGTCTCCCCAAACTGCCAAAGTACTTGTAAAACCAAGCCTAAGCCTGGCCACTACAACATCAGTCAGTCTGTTCACATTGCAAGTTGCTCCATAAAACATACTTATCTACGTGGGTTTTAGATCTACTCAGGCTTCTAACTGCTTCCTATAACAATCATTTTTATTATTTACTTCTCTCCCAATATTATTCCTAATGCTAGACACAGTTATAACCAAAGTTATATTCTACATTCTCCTTCTGGTTTCTCTTCTTGGCTAACATATCAACTTTATCATGGAAGGAGTAATCCAATGTGTGATGGGATCCATAGCAATTGTACATTAATTCCTTTGTCCTAATTTTTGAGTATCTATACCTGGCTTCCCCCAAAGAGCATGTTGTTGGAGTCATTTTAAGAGTCAAGAGCCTTCAATGATGACATAGAATCAGTAATGATGATAGAGTCAAGCTCAGTGTCATAGGTTAGCTTTAGCGCCATTAGGATTTCAAACAATTCGTTTGCTGTAGACGCCCAGTGTTAATTTTTATGCCTAACCAAACAAATTTTTTTCGTTTTAACAGGGAGTGGCAAAAAGAGGATGCAGCCCTCCCAAGCCCCTGTTTGGACCATCTGAAAATTTGTGATAGTTATTACTACCCTAGGTGAGAAATTTCTTTTTGGATTTGCTCTAACAAGAGATTTAAGGAAGGGATTACTTGCATTGGCTTCTTGGGGGGATTGTAGGTATGTGATTTTAAATGAACACATCTTCCATGGAGGGGGAAATGTCTTGTTGCCTACAGTGATAAGTTCATGTGGTTTTTAAACAAATGAAATTTGCCGTTTTCACAACCATTTGATCTTGTGAATTTACTCTAGAATTGGGTAAGATTACTGTGCAGGTCTGGTTCGTTTCTCACATTCTAATAGGGGGGGGGGGGGGTTACAGTGAAATTTTCAAAAACCCTATCACGATACTAAAATACCAACTCCTTCCTCATGTTAAAAACTTTTTAATCGGGGGAACCCCAAGAATTCCTGAGAGCTTCTTTTTGCTTAATCAAGGGGGGAGAGAACTTTCTCTATAATACCCAACAGGGGAGCGCAAAATCAATTAAGGCCCTAACATAGGCTAGTCACATTCTCAGATTCCACATTAGCCCCATATTTGGGTTTTGTAGCACAACACTTTGAGAGCATTTATCCAGTTTGATTTCTTTTTTGGGTTGGGTATGTGGATTTGTTAAAGGGTACATCTACCCAAAGATTCTGTAATTTTTAACTTTAAATGTTTTTCACCCTGCAAATAGATGGGTGGGGGTTGTTTGCTTGTTAATATCTTTTTTTAGGGAGATATTATGAGCCTAGTCGATTACAAATTGTTTGAAATTCATTAGAATGGTATTCTCTTCTTAGCCTTGTTGTAGGATCATGAATATCGCATAGCTTAAAACTATATGTTTAGGTGAGGCAGGTAGGATTTAGGAGAGCTTTAATCAGAATATTAAATAGCATGGGACTAAAAAACTCCTCCCTGCTTTTTTACCTAAAGACATTCTTTGGGAATCACTTCTGAACCCTTGGTTAAAGGAAAAGGGAACTCTTTTTTGACGGGTATCTTTATCCAGCAGAGAAAAACCACCAATTTCATTTTACTAGTTCATGTAGTAAACGGTTCTGTTCGCTATCAAATGCAGATTTTGTCAAGAAAAGGGTAAAAACTAGTGAGGTGTGTGCGTGAAAAAGGTGGAAAACAGTTCTGCACATTTTACCTTTCTAAAACCCCATGAGGTAGGGGGAAATTTTGTGTCTGATTTGTAGACAGTCTGTTAAAGCTTCTTTTCTTTCAAAAGTTTTAAAAAGCAACTAGTTAGGAGATCGGCCAAATGTATCAGGGGTTGGGGCTTGGGGTTAGGCCAATGATATTGGCCCAGGAAGTGGAAAAACGCCCAAAATGTAAGAGTTAACAGGCCAAAAAGGGGTTATCACCCGTGCCTTGAGTTCTGAAAATTTTAAATAGGAAACCATCCTCTCCAGGACAGGATCGCTTTGGTTAATGCATTATCTAATTCTACTGGGTAAAGGGGGCAATCACTTACAAATTTTGGGCTCTTTAAAATTGATCGTTTAAACATTTCTTCAGAAGTACTCTTATTTTTTTTCTAATAGAGATGGGGAAGGGGTTTCATGCCTGGATTTTTGGGCCCCATTTATAGGGCTTTGCTTTTTCAAGAGGAAAGGGAGGCAACATGCCCGTCTTTTTCTGGTTATTTTATTTTACCCTTTCCCAAACAAACTCAAAGGGGGTGGCCTATTTAACCATAAAAACTGTTCCCATTCCTTTGCCCAAATTTTCCTTTTTTCCTTGCATTTTTTAGTGCAGCTTGAACGTTCTGAGCAGGTCTGGGGTTCACATTCACGTATGCTTTACCTCCTCCTAGCTGCATTGTTAGATTTCGAGTGTGGGAAAAATAGTATTTAATTTTGGTTTTTTTTGTTTTATAAGTGGGGGTCTTTGTTTCCTATTCCTGCCCCCTTTATCTTGGAAAAAAACTCTCAATAGTGGTAAATTAAATATATTAAAATTTCGTGTGCCAATTGTCGTAATTCTTATACCCTTGATCCAAATTTAATAAAGTTTTTCTCTGTTTTCTGGTTTGAGAAAAGTTTCCTCCCTTTGTATTTGTCCTTATTGTGGGGATGTGTCAAATGACAGTTGTTAGTTTTGGGAAGTGATCAGATAGAAGATCATCAAAAGACGAGTCATGCTCGTATATAGTATTAAAATCCCAAAACCAGATCGTATCCACCATATATGTGAGTAGGCTCAGTGTGCCCACAATTTGAACATTACTTCCATTTAGCAAACTCACTGTTTAGTTCCATTGGGGTTTGTTATAGCCCACCCAAAATTTTTATTTGGCTTAAAATCTCCAAGTGATGGTAGGTTCACTATTGATGCTTTTGGTAAAGCTCAGGTCGAAGCTGGTTCGCTGGGCATAAGATTAAAAATGTTTATGGAAAAATCGCCTGATTACTTTGACACAATACTGATGTTAACTCGACTCTGCAAGGAAGGAGTGAATGTGGAAGCTTTTTTGACTTTCATCACACAACAGTTGGTTGACCCCAGGTTATAAACTGCAAACCCGGCAAGTTTTGGTGGAGGTGCTCCTTTCAAACTAATTCCGCAAACAGTGACATCAAAATTCTTGGTTGCACTAATAAAAAGAAGTCAGGCAACCCTTCTGATGGAAGCAAAGTTTTCCCTAAAAATTTTTTAATGTATCCATTGTAGTGAGTTATTACAATCTCTTTCTAAAGATGGTTTAAAAAAATTTGCTTTGATACAGTTGCAACACTTATGAGCAAATAGATAGTTTGTAGCTTTACTTTGGGCCTTCATTTTTTAAACATTTTTCGGCATCTTTGGGAGCCAGTTAAAAGGCAGTCTTGAAAGGGATAGGGCTCTTTTCTCACAAAATTTCTGGAAATGAACGGAGATTGCGCACTTTTGAATCATCACCCTGCTCAAGAGCATCATCCTGATTACAACATTTATTAAAAATTTTCGGTTTTTTCAAAAATGCTAATTTTTTTCTGGAAATTTTTTATAAAATTTAGGGGAAATTCAGGCGAACGGTTTGGGAGTGTGGTAAAGGTAGAAAATTTAAAGTGAAAAAGAAAAGGGTAAGGTGATGAGGGTATCGAATGGTTTAGAAAAGAAAAACTGGGATACAAAAATTGGGGAGGAGGAGTATGGAAAAAGTGAATGTTTTCAGTACTTGGAGTTGACGTGTCAGCAGATGGATTTATGAAGGTGAGATTTAAACAAAAAATGATGGGGGAAAAAAGGTGGTGGGCATTGGGTATATGTGGAGCAAAAAAAGTTATCTATGGAGGGAAAGAAGGGAATGTATGAAGTATAGTAGCCCAAACACTTTGTATTGGGTGAAGCTTAGGTTTTGAATGCAGCAGCAGGATCGATTGGGGCATGGGGATTGTCCCGTCTAATGGGAATGTGTGGTGAAAATTTATGCAAAAATTCGGAGTGTGGAAAATTTGGGGGAAGGTGTGGGGGTTAATAAAAGTTTTTATCAAAGGCTGAAAGGGGGTTTTTTGAGAATGGATCAAAATGAATGACTGGAGAACGTAAAAATTGTAGGGGGAAAGGGAAAGGGGGGGTGGGGTCGCCTCGAAAAGGTTGGAAGGAAAGGGGTAAGGGAGGGTTTTTTGGGCGAGGGGTTGGGCTTCCCGCAGGGGTGCAGGCGGTTCGATAGGAGTGAATGGAGACGAATGGTATTTGGGACCTGACGATCTGTTGGAGTGTGAGAAGGGTAATATTTAGTGAAGGGATTCAGGGAAACCGGTATATTTTTATATAGCCAGACTTGAGTCCTGGAGAATGGGAAGTACAATGCCTGCACTCTAAAGGAGGGGTTCGGGATATATAGCAGTTTGGAGGATATGTTGTGTATCTTTATATGTATATGCTTCTAAACTGTTGTGTTCTGAGCATCTCTGCAAAAACGAGTGATTATGTGTGAGTGAGGTGAAAGTGTTGAATGATGAAAGTATTTCTTTTTGAGTCACCCTTCCTCGGTGGGAGACGGCCGACTTGTTAAATAACATATATATATATATATATATCATATATTATATATATATATATATATATATATATAATATATATATATATATAATATATATTTAGTTACTTTAAAGAAATAGTTTTCTCAGCTTCGGCAGAAATATCTAAGACATCCTACACCTAAACTCCATCCAGTCAGTAGGTATCACGAGTAACATACAGTCAGTAGGTATCACGAGTAACATACAGTCAGTAGGTATCACGAGTAACATACAGTCAGTAGGTATCACGAGTAACATACAGTCAGTAGGTATCACGAGTAACATACAGTCAGTAGGTATCACGAGTAACATACAGTCAGTAGGTATCACGAGTAAACATACAGTCAGTAGGTATCACGAGTAACATACAGTCAGTAGGTATCACGAATAACATACAGTCAGTAGGTATCACGAGTAACATACAGTCAGTAGGTATCACGAATAACATACAGTCAGTAGGTATCACGAGTAACATACAGTCAGTAGGTATCACGAGTAACATACAGTCAGTAGGTATCACGAGTATCATACAGTCAGTAGGTATCACAAGTAACATACAGTCAGTAGGTATCACGAGTAACATACAGTCAGTAGGTATCACGAGTAACATACAGTCAGTAGGTATCACGAGTAACATACAGTCAGTAGGTATCACAAGTAACATACAGTCAGTAGGTATCACGAGTAACATACAGTCAGTAGGTATCACGAGTAACATACAGTCAGTAGGTATCACGAGTAACATACAGTCAGTAGGTATCACGAGTAACATACAGTCAGTAGGTATCACGAGTAACAGTCAGTAGGTATCACGAGTAACATACAGTCAGTAGGTATCACGAGTAACATACAGTCAGTAGGTATCACGAATAACATACAGTCAGTAGGTATCACGAGTAACATACAGTCAGTAGGTATCACGAATAACATACAGTCAGTAGGTATCACGAGTAACATACAGTCAGTAGGTATCACGAATAACATACAGTCAGTACGTATCACGAGTAACATACAGTCAGTAGGTATCACGAATAACATACAGTCAGTAGGTATCACGAGTAACATACAGTCAGTAGGTATCACGAGTAACATACAGTCAGTAGGTATCACGAGTAACATACAGTCAGTAGGTATCACGAGTAACATACAGTCAGTAGGTACCACGAGTAACAAACTGAACATAAAATAATCACTGATGGTAAAAAGACCAATACAGATATAGGAGACCTTTATTAGAGCTAGGCTTTACCTGCCTCCTCCATGTATCTATTTTATCATTTGTGGGTTACGTTATACTTTAACAGTCACTGATATCATTCCTTATTTTAACCATTAAGTTATGACACAAACACACACAGCAGCTGTGAATCGACCCCTGCAACCACATGTAGGTGGGTACACACACACATACAGTGTGCTGCTAATATAGCATCTCACAGCACAAGTTGTTTATATCACACTGGCAGAGTCAGAGTGAACCTCATTCTCACCAACCTAACTACTTCTTTCAGTAGGTTAAGAAGTATTTCACATACTAGTAACAAATAACGAAGATCTTTTACCCCCATTTGTGTTCACTAATAATTAAGCTAATGATAAATTAGACACATGTGCAACACTTGGGTATCTTGGGTATCATTAAAGATACCCAAGTGTTGCACATGTGTCTAATTTATCAACTTGACGGTTCTCTGAAACATTCATCTACAATTAGGCTAATGTTGTTAACACTGATTCACAGGCTTTGGTGGGTTTCCTGGTCCCTCTGGCTTGGCCGGCTTGACCTCGGCCGCCCTGGGCTCCAACGCCGACAACAACCCCGGTAAGTACACTTTTATTTTGCACATTTCTTATGAATGTTATCAGTTTTCCATATCAGCTCTGTCTTTTTTAATGTTTTTTATCTATTAGTGTGGACTGAAAAATTTATCCGCAGTTATCTTTGGACTGATTTTTTGACCAAGAAGCATGGGTATGATATCTTTGACTGCATGTTGTCTTGCTCATGTTAACAGCCTTGAGCTCTGCTATGACACCTGTTTGGATGATTGCCTTACATTTTCACACCAACCTTACCGAGATTTTTGCCCCAGACAAGGGCAGTGTTACACCTTCCCAGCATCGACCACCCCACAACCACCTCCCACGGGGGGCCTCCCTCCCAAAGCGGCATGTTGCTCTACACTTTTTTTCAATAGCCCAGGAGTGAGCTTTAAGAACAAAAGTAACAGAATCGTAATGCTGAGTAAAATGCATTTTACACTTCAGAATGAACTAAGGCAATGTATTACTAAATTATAATTTAGAAGGGGAAACTATAATGTTTCGATTCCTGCTGGACCATTATCAAGTTACTTGACAATGGTTCAGGAAGGGCTGGAACATCGCCTAGTTTCATCTCCATTTTTTTTTAATAGTGACTTGTTCCAGCCACGGTATTATGACTTACACTCTTCCCGCTAACCTTTAATTTTTGTTTTAACCCGGTATGTGGTTCTCTAGGTAACCAGTCGCTAGGATACACTGCAAGATTTCACCTTCGTAATTGATCATCTTAAAACTCGGCTAACATACAGCCAGCAAACACAATGGCGTATCTTAAAACTGAGTACTGTAAAAGACTATCTGTAGCTACCATAGAGTAATACATGTAACCGCATACATGTATATGCAAGAAGCCATAAGTAGAATGTACATAGCACAGCTGTCTCCTAGTAATCCTGAAATTTCTCTCTCAGTTACACACTGGAGATGCGAGCGGTATACTCTATTTCGTACTGGTACTCCCGGGAGAAGCACCTCTATATAGAAGTAGTCAGGTAAACTACACCGTCGTAGTGCAAACTTTACAACAACAACAGTAACCAAAAAACAATCTGTTGTTTACAAGCGTATGTAGTTCTTTGAATTACGTCGTGGCGGTGAAAACCAGAACTGGATTACAACAGCGTTCTACAGTGTTCTGACCATTTTGTTTATTGGTTTGAAGCCTATAGTCACATTATATAATGTGATAATTAATTTTTGACGGAGCCGATGAGCCAGCGGAAGGCCTCGGTCATATGACTAAAAGTTCCAGGTATCAGATTGTTGTAATTAATGATTGTTTATTATTTATCGTAAGTACTTATTGTGAGTGATACAAGTAAAACAAATAAGTACATGTAAAGCCTTCGATAAATTTCTCTAAAACAAATGAAGAACAAGGGAAAAGGAAAAAATTAATGGGTGTGTTGGATGATTGGTTAATGGGTATGCTGGATGACTGATTAATAGACGTCCTGGATGACTGGTTAATGGGTATGCTGAATGACTAATTAATAAGCGTGCTCAATGACTGATTAATAGGCGTCCTGGATAATTGGCTGATAATCACGCTGGGTGACTGATTAATGGACGTACTGGATGATAGTTGATGGACGCCCTGGATGACTGGTTAATAAGCATACTGGATGATTCGTTGATATGAGTGAGCGAGAGTTAGCACGTCACAGGGTGAGTGTCCTGCGAAGTACCGGTCAAGTGTCCAGCATGATGATATATACTGTTTATCTTTAGCGGGTGGTGACATCACACTGTTTATTTGAAGGATTTTTAAATATCCGAAACCTGCTGTGCTGTGGGTTGTTCAAACAGAAGGTGGCAGAAAGGAGTGTCTTATTTTTTAATTCCTGTCGAAAAAAAATAACAACGGGCAAAGTGAGCAGCGGCGATCGGAAGATAAAACTAGGTGTCAGCTGCATACATAGAGACAAAACTAGGTGTCAGCTGCATACAGAGACAAAACTAGGTGTCAGCTGCATAGAGACAAAACTAGGTGTCAGCTGCATAGAGACAAAACTAGGTGTCAACAGCCTACATACAAAGACATAACTAGGTGACAGCCTACACTCGCTTACATAGTCAATAACGTCGCCTCAGGTAAATTGGTGAGAATAATTCATGTCTACCATTCCCATCCAGGGCGCTGCTTTGATACCGGTAAGACCCTCTTGATCGAAATATTTTTAAAGTACAAAACCTAACTTTCCGTTCCTAAGATATAATAACCTGATTGCCACCCATTCTCTAGACATTACATGATTATTATTATTATTATAATCAAGGGGGAAGCGCTAAACCCGGAGGATTATACAGCGCCTGGGGGGGGGGATGTGGAAGGCATTCAGGCTTAATTCGGGGAACTGGAGCACAGATCCAATTCCCTAAATCAAGAGCCCCTCACCAACATCAAGGAACCTTCCTTGAGGGGAGACATTACATGAGCTCTGCGTTTAGCGCTTTCTTCTAACAATAATAATAATAACAACAGCCAACAAAATTTAACGTTTTATCCAGTTCATAAACCAAATTGGTTGTTTTAAGCTAATTTTAATAAACTGATCAGGAATCTAAGCTTGTTTAGTCTAAGTTTATTTTTTTTTAAATTTTATGATCAATAGTTTGAATTTTGGTTATTTAAGGTTGAAGAACAACATGGTAGGTTACTAAAAAATCATAGGTATTATGTACAGATATTAAATGTGTTGCATACAACGGAAAACACTAAGTTTTTTTTAACCTAAGTTCGTTATATGTATATTATATATATATATATATATATATATATATATATATATATATATATATATAATATATATATATATATATATATATATATATATATATATATGTCGTGCCGAATGTGTAAAAACTGGTCAATTAGCAAGAACTCATTTAAAATTAAGTCCTTTCTAAAATTTTCTCTTATACGATTAAAGATACATTTTTTTAATTAATGTTGATATACAAATTTTTAATTTTGCACCAAAAGAATCTTAGAAAACTTACCTAACCTTATTATAACAAGAAAAATTTATTTTAGCCTAACCCAACTAAATATACTTTAGATTTGTTTATAGTAATTTAATACTAAACATACACAGTGAAATATATTTTTCTCGTTAGGTTCAGAATGATTTTGGCGAAATTATTGCATACACAAATTTTCACTTGTCCTATATGGCAAGATGAGCGTTGCTATTTAAGCCAACATCGCAAGTTCTGCCTATTCGGCACGACATATATATATATATATATATATATAATATATATATATATATATATATATATATATATATATATATATATATATATATATATCGAATGTGCGTTAAGAAAAAGCTTAGTGTTTGCCGTTGTATACAACACACTTAATATCTGTACATGATATAATACCTATGCCATACCATGGCATCATACACCCGGCTAGCTAGGAAATATTTAAAGCAGTCGTGCACTCGTACCTTCAAGCCTAACTCAAGACTTAAAAGTTTTCGTGTCACTTTCCAGGCTATCATCACGTGTAGTGTACTCATTACATGCATCTTTAAGTGCCATCTTTTGAGTATATCTCACCGATTATTGTTCTGTCTGATGCCTTGTGTGATCTGTGACTGCCATGCAAGTTTGTGACATGTTAGTCTCACACTTAACACAAGAAGACACAGCTGGTTAAGTAATGTGGCTGCTCACTCACTGCACCAGAAAATGAAATTGATAGACGGGGGAAACGTCCGAAAATTTTACAGGAATTTGACCGTTATTGCAATTATTATTATTATTATTATTATTATTATTATTATTATTATTATTATTATTATTATTATTATTATTATTATTATTATTATTATTATTATTATCATTATTATTATTTTTATTATTGTGATGAATGTGTCTCAATCATCATTATTATTATTATATTAAAAGACAGGACTTATCCAAAATTCACTTTGGATAGGCCAAGCTTTTGAATTCCATTTTCATCAAAGACTGCAAGAAACTACTACCTCGGGCCCTTAACTTTCTGTGAAAGGGAGCCAGGACGCTGTTGTCATCCCACACTCATTAATAAAAAAAACCGCCTATATTGCCCAACTTCACAAAGGTGCCATTAAAGAAATAACGAAGACCTGTAGACCGACAGCGCTAACTTCACACATCAGAATTTTTGGACGTGTTTTACAGAGTAACATTGTCAGTCATTTGCACAACCTAGGCCAGCATGGGTTCAGAGCAAGTCGCTCCTGCCTCTCACAATTGTTTGACCATTATGATATTGTTTTCGATGCACTGGAAGACACGCTAATGAATGTGCACTGATTTTTAAAATTCTTTGACAAGTGCAACCATGTTGCGATTAGGCACAATCTCCGTGCAAAAGAAATAATTGGAAAAGTGAGCAAATGGATATTTAACTTCTTAACAAATAGAGACCAAAGAGTAGTAGTAAACAGAATGAAGTCGGAGACTGAGACAATGAAAAGCTGATCCTCAAGACAATATTCGCCTCATTTCTATTTCTCATTCTTATTTCCGATATAGACAAGGACGTAGATTCTGTGACTGTAACATCTTTTGCTGATAACACCAGAAACTCCATGCGAGTAGCGTCCGTCGAAAACAGCAAATTTTCCAGCAAGTCACATAGATGTACAATAAGACACTCGTCAGTGTTACAAAAATCACTTAGTTAAAACATATCCACAGTGACCAGACCAGTCATTGTCTTACCTCACTCTGCCTCAAGCTTTACCACTGCTCACTCCTACTTCAGTCCTTTCCTTTCCATCCTTGCCACCACTATAGTGTAAAAAAAATCGCTATGTGTTGCTGTTACCCTTTGCCACGCCACTGTTGGTTGGCTGAGTTAATAATAGGTTAAGTTTGTCGACAGCTGTGTGTTACCTATACTCCACCGGTCAACGGTACTTCAATCTTCGAAATAGCCATTAAAGTCTCATCGTATATACACTAAGCGATACACACATCTTGGTGTATATA